CAAAGGTAGTGTCCAAAAGGGCAGTGTTTTGATTTTAAATATTCATTCGTGACCTGGAGGAAAATGGAAAAGGAAGAGTTCTCAAATTTACATTTGACACAACTGAAAGATACTAGAAAAAAATCAGAGTAGAAAAAAGAAGAGCTAGGCTGAAAAAATGAGCATTATTAACAGGCTTTGGTAAAACAAGTGGCAATTAGCAGTGTGTGGCTTAAAGATGATACTGGATCTACTTTGGAGCAAGGAGAATCTCCAAATTTCATGTTGTGCAGAGCACGGTGGCAAAAGCAGCTTATGTTCAGAGAGGTCCCAGTGAGACAGTGGCTATCAAATGATGTGAGCTGATGTGCAACCTGATGTCTGGCAAAGCTACTGCTCAGTTGGTCCATATGTCTGCCCGGCTGTGTGCTTTCCAGTGTGACTCTCCCCTGTAGTGCTGTGGCATCGCACTGTGCGATTTGGGGCACCTTGCTACAAGAGAGACCCAGGCAAGTTGGAACAAATCCAGAGACGGGCCACAAAGATGCTAAAGGGATTAGAGGGAATGACCTATGATGAGGAAAGGTGAAAAGAACGAAATGTTTAGAACCTCTAAGCCTGTTACATGGGCACAGAAATAGTAACGGAGTTTCCTGTGCCAGCACGGAGGAGAGTTGGATCAAGTCTCTCTCCTTTTACATTCCTATTAAGGTAACTAGAGCTGAGCAAAATGGCTGTTCATCACTTTGAACTCTTTGCAAAAAACATTTAGCTGTTCTTCTTGAAGTTCAAGATGTTGTATTTCATTGCCAGGGGACACTGAGTCTGTTTAAAAATCACCACGGGATCTCCATGAGACTTGCAGAAAGTCAGAGCTGGTGAGGCTTAACTCAGTGTGTGCTGCCCAGCAATAATCAACTATGCAAGTTGTTCCAGAGGCCAGAAAAGAAAAACACAAGCTCTGGAATGGCTGGAGTCACCTTAGCTATGATCTTTGATCTGTCTTGGTGTTAAGGACTTTTGCCTCTAAAGCATGCATTCACATCTAACCAGAACTCACTATGTATTACTGTCTCCTGAAAGGGAACAGGAGCACCCTCAGCTCTAAGGATGCAGGGTGTTTGTTGCTATCCTTGATTCACCTTCAGACAGTCACTGTTTGCCTGTCTTGGGAGGAAGGCTCCGTAATTGAGGTTGTGAGTTGAGAAGTGACTTGGTCCTAGGACACTGATCTCCCCTCTTTTTTTTCTTTTTTTTTTTTTTTTTTCC